AAACTTTTATCTCTGTTATGAACACATGTTAAATTTTATTTCGATCTGGCAACTCCTTCATATATAAACAGGTGTTCAAAAAAGACGCATCAATAATAATATTTTAACCATGTCGTTTTAATATTGGGGGGTTGTGACTTATCCGTCCACTCCTTCTAGTACCTCACTCATAATGGGTCAAAATTGTGAAACTTTGTAAATCTTATATGAAACGAACAGATTATCCAAATTTCATCCAAACTTTTCTCATCGTAATATTCGAATCCATCGAACGAACTCTTCAGCTACCTTCACCATAATGGGTTAAAATTTTGAAAATTTGTTAATCCAATAAAATTGGTATAGATTTTCCGATTGGATTTCAAATGTGCACATCGTTATATTTCTTTCAAAACTAATTCAAGTTCGAAAATGATACCAATCCGTCCCTTCTTGTATCTCCCACACGAAGTAGTCAAAATTTAGCTAAAAATAATTTTTTTGTATTATGCGAACGGACTATCCGATTCGCATAATACAATATACTAACTAATTTTAATAATGTTGGTAGATCGAACTTATCGGCCCACTTCTTCTGGTACCTCCCCACACTGGGTCAAAATTTTGAAAATTTGTAAATCTCACATGAAGCGAACAGATTCCTATTTTATATAAACTTTGACAATGGTAATATTTTATCTTACATAGATCTAGTTTGAAGATGGGAACCGTTGGTCCACTGTCCTCCTTTACCTCCCACAAGAAGAAATGTTGCTGAGAATTTATTTTGTAAAAACATTCGAACGGACTATCTGATTTAAACTGAACTTTGTACAACCTAATATTTTAACCATGTCTGTATAATGTTGGGAGATCGGCCTTATCGGTCCAGTCCTTCTAATACCTCCCCACAAAGAATCAACATTTTTAAATTTTTTAAATCTCACGAAATATCCAATTTCATCCAAACTTTGCACATGGTAACACATTTACCTTACATAGATCAAGTTTGAAGATAGGACCCGTTGATTCACTTCTTCAACATTTTGAATTTTTGTTAATCAAATATCATGATAATGGAATGTCTGATTTGATTCAAAATTTCTAGATCGTAATATTTTGCAAACCTACATTAAATCTTAAGAAGGGCCACCCTCTTCTGGTACCTCTCCAAAGTTGGCCAACTCTTTGATAAAAATATAGACCTTAAATAAAGCGAATAACCTGTGTTTTTTCCGTAGACCTCCGAAGAACTTGGGCTGAGGATTTAAATCTGTCGGCAACATCGACTGACAATTTTTTATTTATTTTTTTAATCGGAATATTGTGATAGTTTTCAATAATTATATTGAGAGCGTCTCATATACCCATGGTAGTCGGTCCGTCCGAATTTTGTCCTTTCCTTACTTCTTACCTCAAAATCTCTGCGTATTATCAACATTTGAATGTCCTCTGCAGAAAAACACTTCTGTGGGGAATTTCCAAAAAGATTTGTGCCTAGGAAATTGTCTATATTCAAACTATCAGACTCCTCCTCCTCATTTGTTGGACAGTCTTCAACTTCTTCATGTTTGTGGGAGGTTATAATTTTGTTTCTCATCATTTTTGTAATGCCTTTTAACTCATTATTATCATCATCGTGTTTTTGTTTTGCTGCCTTATTCATTTTATTTGCATTTGAATCATCCTGTGGCTCTTCTCTCGAAGGAGTTTCATAGAAATTTTGAAAATATTTGACTTGATAGTTGGGAAAAATGTCATTGCTGGGTGGATTATTAAAATCTATAAAATTTGGCATATCCTTTTGCTTCATATAAGTAAGTCCTGCATTTTTAACGGGTAACTGCTGCTGTGTGGGATAATTGCCAACACCATCATATTTATTATTATGTATATATTGCTCTAAATGTGGTTGTTGTTCTTGTTCCTCAACGTTATTGTAATTCTGTGTCGACCAGCCAGCTGCTGTAAAAATATTTCGGCTATTTTCTTCTTTTTTCTTCGTATCTTTAGGTTTTGTTAAATATTTACTAATCAGCTTTTGGTCATCAACTTCCCTATTATTATCCTTATTGTGCACCACATTGAAATAATCCATTTTATCACCATCATAATTTACAGGATATTTTGTTGCAACATTATCGTAATTAATCTTGTTATTCACCTTGCCATCATATATTTTTTCTTTTGCTCTACCCGAAATTTTCATCAAATCCTTGTGCCTTTCATTATTCAATGCCGTTTGCACTTTAAAGTCATCACCAAAATCTGTTGTATCGCTTTCAGCCGCCGCTCCTATATCGATAATTGGCTTTTCCACAGTTCGAATATTCCAATCGTATAGATCGACAGCCGAACATGTCGAAGATATTATTGCAATAACTATTAATGTAAATTTCAAAATAATTTCCATATATTTTCAATTTTTCCTTCTAATTTATTATTTATGTGTTGTATTTTCCAAGAAAATATTATTTTTCTTTATTTTTATTTTGACACTTTCTTTTTAATTTCATTTGCAAAGAAGAAGAATTAAGATTTTGAATGGTTGTAAAAAAAATTGGGTTTTGGGATTAATTTTGAAAAATGTTTTCTATATGATTGCCATAAGTTCCATGGGAATGCAAGACGAATTTTAAAAATGGTTGTATTATTAGTACGTTTACATTGTTCCGTATTTATTAAATCCCGTAGATCTAAATTATAAATTCCATTACACATATGTGAAATAAATCCTCATAGACGAGGAATCTTTACCGGATTCCTCATTAAAATGCCGTTCATAAATGGATCTTTTGGGGACTTCTGTAGATTGACAAATTTTCCTTCTTTCTTCTCGATACGTCCACCTCATGTAAAGCAGTATCCACTGATTTGCCTTTTATGTCGGCATGCTGGATTTGTTAATTTTATTGGGGTTGATAGTATTCCTAATGTCAGAGTCTAGTATCTTTTCTAGAGTCTTAAGTAGAAAGGAAGAGAGGCTAAAGGAAGAGAGGCTATAGTATTTAGGTAGCGTATGACTCGGTTCCAAGGCCTTCTGGATTAAGGTCACCGTTACTTCTTTCCATAGACTTGGTATGTACGATAAAAGCAGCCAAGCCCTAAAAAATGTTCTGCAAAATGACCAATACATCGTTATGCCATCTGGGCCTGGGGATTTGTAGGATTGAAAGCTATTTATTGCCCATACCAATTTTGGGTAGCTTGTAGTATTATCTATCAATATCTCCCCTTCTCTGGCTAGAGTCATATGCCGATGCGCACACCGCATTTCGTCATTAGGGTCCTTACAACCAGGGAAGTGGGTTGCTGATAGAAGATCAAGAGTCTCTCCGTCGGAGTTTGTCCACGCCCTGTCGCTTCGCTTAATACTACCTATAGATTTCGAACCTTTAGATATTACTATGGGAAATCTGTCCGCTTCCTTCACTCCTTCGATCGACTTGCTATAGCAAACCCAAGACCTCCCCAACAAAGGTTTAAAATTTTCAATATTTTTAAATCTAATATAAGGTTGATGCAATGTCCGATTTGATCCTAACTGTACATATCGTAAAATTTCTTTCAAACTTCGAAGTTAAGAAAATCGGGCCAGTTCTTCTGATAACTCCCCAACAAAATGGTCAAAATTGAGCTGAAAATCAATTTCATAATATCATGCGAAAAGAGCATCCGATTCAAATCAAACTTAGCATTTTAACTTGTTGGGAGATGCCACATATCGGTCCTCTTCTTCTAGTACCTCCCCACAATGGGCCAACATTTTGAAAATTGGTAAATCTCCTATGGAGTGAATAGAATATGCAAATTTCATCCGAACTTTGCAAATCGTAATATTTGTACTTAGCCTAGATCGAATCCAAAGATGGGATACATCGATTCGCACCTTTGGCACCTGCCCCATAATGAGTCAACATTTTGATCAGTTGTTGATCCAATAACAACGGTATGAAACGTCCGATTCGATGTCAAATGATCACATCTTAATATTTCTTTCAAATTTAATTCATGTTGGAAGATAAAACCCTTCTCGTAAGGGACCCGTTGGTCTCATCTTTCTGGTAACTTCCCCACAAAGTGTCAACATTTTGCAAATCTCCTTTGAAAGATCTCTTGAGTCTTCTAAAGATAATAAAAACCTATAGAGAGGAAATAAATAGAAGATATTTTGCACCTTCTATTGATCCCTTGCATCTTCCTGTGGTCCAAAAATCTTGAAAACTGTCAAATAGGGATGGAAGATCTATATAGATCTCAAAGATGAAGGAGCTATTGGAACTTCTAACAATAGAGGACATACAATTCTCAAAATATAAAAAAACTCTCTAAATGGTCTAATTCTTGGTTAGCCACAATTCTTGGTTGGTGACCCACAGATCCGCAATAACGAGAATTCCTTCTGCAGGTACTCCTTGCCAAGAACATCCCTAGTCAGAAGACTTCCATATGTTCTCTGACGTCAATACACCATCTAAAGGTATTTTCTTGCTGAAGCCATTCTGATAAGCAGAACCCACACCTCCTTCATGTCTTTTACAGTTCGAAGGTCTTCGATAGGTTTTATATGAGTGAGGGGTCTTATGAACTTCTAAATATGGCCTTAATAAGTTTTTCATACGTTTTAGTCCAACACGGACCTAGTAAAGTTTTGATATAGTCAGAATAACTTATAAATCATCTCTATACCTTGCAAATCCTCTACACGAATTCTATAGATCATATATAGACCTTTTACTGGTCTTTAATATACACAAATTCTTCTCAAGACCTTGCAGAGAACAACCGTAGCCAGAAGACTTTTTGCGGGTCTTCTGTATCGATGTTTAAGTCTGTACGTATCAGACAGGTAGATTTCACTTTATATACTTAAATATTTCGGGGATTTCTTTTTTATTTTAAATTCGTCTTGCATTTTCAAGGACTTCAAATTAAAATCGAAATACTCTAAAAAAATCCGTACTCATTGTCTATTTGCCACTTTTCTTTTGTGTGTGTGTGTGAACAATTGGTATTTTCAGCACGTGATCCAGCCGAAATTGAACGCAGTAATTTGGTAAATATTTGTAAATTAGTAGTCAAAGAGCTACTAGAACAATCGGTACGCTATGGTCGGATGTTGGATTCGGATCATTTACCATTGCAACATTTTTTCATTGTCATTGAACATGTGCTGGGACATGGTTTGCGAACAAAAAAGGTAAAATAACAACAAAAACAAGTATTTCCCAGTACAAAATTAAGAAAAAAATAATCTTAGGGTTTATTGGGTCCACGCAAAGAGCTGTGGGATCTATTGCAGTGTGTTGAAACCTATTGTCCTGAGGCACAAGATATAACAGCCAGTGTACGTGATTTACCCACGGTGCGTACACATATAGGTCGTGCCCGGGCCTGGTTGCGTATTGCTTTAATGCAAAAAAAGTTGGCCGATTATCTGCAGGCGTTGATCGAACATCGTGAAGATGCTCTCTACGATTACTATGAACCACATGCTCTCATGATGAGTGATGAGGTATTATAACTGTTCCTTCTTATTATGGAATTCATCTTTATTTTCTGATTATTTTTCATCTACCTCCCATTTTTCAGATTGTTATAATAATGGGCATATTAGTTGGCCTAAATGTTATCGATTGTAATTTATGTGTTAAAGAAGAAGATTTAGACTCACAGCAAGGTGTTATCGATTTTTCATTATATCTACGTTCAAGTTCTCGCAACAATGATATGGAAGAGGACAGTAACCAACAGCAACAAAATCAATCACAAACAAATATGGATGCGAATGGTCAGGGTAATATGATTGCTGTATTGGATCAGAAAAATTATATTGAAGAATTAAATCGTCATTTAAAGTGAGTGTTTTTGGTTTTCGAAAATGAAAAGATATCAGAGAGAGAGAGAGAGATGGAGAAAGAGAGGAGGAGAAGCGACCTCGTGTGCAAGCTCTTTTACAGGCGAAATTTTTTAAAAATTTAAGAATTTTCTAGGCTCTGAGACGATCTAATAATCTAGCTTGGAAAGAAGAATTTCAAGATATTTTATCTTAGCAGTAAAACTTTCAGAAGTTCTTAATGGAGTGAAAATTAAATACAGAAGATCACTATATATAGGTAGAACCGGAACATAGGTTTCCTATAAAGAGAAGATGTACCAAACGTTCCGACTTTATACACCTTTTTCAAATATTATTCAAAACGTTTCAATTGCAGTTCGAGAATTTCATTTGTAATTCGAAAACTCAATTTGCAATTCATAACATTTCACTTCTATTAATGATCTTATTTCAAATGTAATTCGAGAATTCCATATGTAATTTACAACATACAATTTGCAATTCGATAATTCCATTTGCAATTCATAACATATCAGTTGTAATTCGAGAATTTCATTTGTAATTAATAGAAAACCTTTCGAAATTCAAACAATTCCATTTAAAATTCGTAAACTTCCATTTTAAATTCCATGTATTGCATTTGAAATTAATAAAATTCCATTTGAAAGTTACATAATACCATTGGAAATTCTTAAGATTTGATTTGAAATACATAATATTTCATTTGTTTTTCATAACAATTAATTTTATTTTAAAATTGAAATTTGTAGTGTTTCATTAGAAATTCAAAGGAATCCGTTTAAAATTCAAAGAATTCGGCTTGAAATTTATAACATTTCACTTGTAATTCAAAATATTTCAGTTGCAATTCGTAACAATTCATTTCAAATTCATAAATATTCTTTGTGTTTTACCAATAATATTTTTCGAATTTAAAATGAAATGTTATGAATAACAAATGAAATGTTATGAATAACAAATGATATGTTATGTATTTCAAATTAAATGTTATGTATTTCAAATGAAATGTTATATATTTCAAACGAACTTTTATGAATTTCAAATGCAATATTTTGAATTTCAAATGGAATACTATGAATGTTATATATTTCAAATGAAATGTTATATATTTCAAATGAAATGTTATACATTTTAAAGGAAATCTTATGTATTTCAAATGAAATGTTATGAACTGGAAAACTGAACTGTTATGAACTGTTCAAAAAAGACGCATCCGCAATTTTTTACAAGGGAAAAATTAGAAATGCGTGCTTTCATTGTAAAAAATTGCGGATGCTTCTTTTTTGAACAGCTGTTTCTATATGAAGGAGTTGCCATTTTATTTTCGAAGCCTTCTGCAGATAGTAGGCCCTTTAACGTCATCCTATAGTTGGAAAACTTTTTTTTCTGTTTTTACCGAGCTTTTTGTGCTACGCTAAGAAGTTTCCGAACTGCCCCTGTAGGTTTTATTTTCGAAGCCTTCTGCAGATAGTAGGTCCTTCAACGTCATCCTATAGTTGGAAAACTTTTCAAAAGTCTTCTATAAACAGAATATCTAGATTTTGAGTAGAAGTCCTGCAATGACGACAAACCTTCTACATCTGAAACTTCTACCGCAGATTTACTAAAAATGTTTTACAGAGGTAAGAGGTATGTTCTTTATCTAGAAAAAAATTTAATTTTTATAATCGGAAGATATTCTATAACTTTCATTTATATTCAGAATAAAATCCGTAGGTCTTTACTCCTAGATGTCATTTATAAACACATGACTTATCCTTTTATTTTTTGAGGTCCAAAAACAGGTCTCTTATAAGCGGAAGACCTTGTAGTCAGAATAGCTTCTAAATGTCCTCAATATCTCGTGAAGCCTCCACAAGTATTCTATACGCCAAATACAAGTCCGAAGTCAGATATCTATTTCTAATTGGAAAGTCTTGCATAAATTCGGAATTCCATATAAAGGTCGGTTCATTATTAAGTATTCCGAGGATAGAACGTGCTTGTAACTGACGTCTACTAGTCAGAACATTTTCTCAATGATATTTGTATTAGTCTTCAATTAGTTTTAGTTTTTCTGAGGTCTTCATAGAGGCCTTTCTTGAGAAGAAAGTCTTTTAATTTTTGTGTCTTTTTATAGGGTTTTTATTTCGGCTTCTGGTAAATGAAATCATTTTGACAAGCATTCTGTGGATAACGGGTTTTGCAGAGAACTTACGCATTTCCTCTATAGTCAGAAGACTTTTTGCAGGTCTTCTAAAGGACATATTTTGTCTAAAGTCGTTTTCTTTGAAAGATGTTCTATGTGGAAAATTTAAATTACAGTTAAAATCCCTTTTATATATCTTCTATAAGAGAAATATCTTTCGAAGCGTCTTCTATAGTCTGAACTTATTTTCAGTGTCCTGTAAACCGAGAAGAACTTCTACAAGTCTTCTACAATGGTATTTTATAGCCTTTTATTTCGACTTGTGGACGAAAGATCTTCCAGAAACATTCAGCAGATAAAATACTTTCAATGTGCGATCCATAAGTAGGAAATAGTTTTTAATAGTCTGAATAACTCCAAAGGACTTTTAAAATCTACTATCGAATCACCTTTTACAGGACTTCTACAGCCTTTTATTTATTTTAGCCTTTCAGAAGCCTTTTGTACATAAAAGTCCTTTAATCTATGTTCCATAAGTAGGGTCCTATATATCCTTATATTTTTGTAACCTTCGAAATACCCTCAAGAAGCCCTCTGTACATAAAAGAACTTGGAGAGGTCCCCCACAGAATACCTTATCTTCTCTCTTTCCCCATCACTCTCAATTTCTTCGTCGTCGCCGCATTATTCAAAAATTTTAATAAAAAAATAACATTCGAAAAAACTCTGCTGCAGCGCAACGGTGGCAAATTTGCAGGCCAAAGTTGAATCGTTGACCACAACAAATGCATTAATGAAAGAGGATTTGGCTATAGCCCGAAACAGTTTGTTAGCATTACAAGCCGAAAATCAGGCTATGAGGCAAAATTCTATAGCAAGTATGTTATTTGTATTATTTCTCTAAAACACTGAAAAGAAACACTGTTAAAAATATTCAAAAATTTCCTTAAAACCCAAAAGATGTTGGACCCCCATCATTGAATTCCAATCAGAGTGGTGGTGGTGACAATATTTCAAATAATTCCAAAGACAGCAACGATAAAAATGCTGTGGAAGCTCTGAAAAACGAATTGGATAAGGAAAAGAAAAAGACGGTGGAATTGGAAAAAGAATTAAAACTGCAAATCGCTTTAAAAGCTGAATCGGATATGGCTATGAAACTGCTGGAAAAGGATATACATGAGAAACAGGATACCATCGTTTCGTTACGGTTGCAATTGGATGAAATTAAACAAATCAATTTGGAAATGTATCGTAAATTACAGGTTGGTAAACATTCCAAAATTAAATACTAAACTCAAAATAAAATAGCAGAGGCAGATTGTGAATTCTCGCAACAACAACAAACATCAATGTTGTTAAGCGTAAGAAGAAGAAGCATTCGTTTCCATCACTAAATCAATCATAAACATCATCATCATCATAAAAAATGATCAGATCATCAATGAAAAATCAGATCACAACTAACCCCCCAACTCATTCTTGGAGACCTAACCTCAATTTTTTTTTTTTTTGGTTTTCTTTTTTTAATTTATTTTTGTGTTTAATTTTTGTTTTATTTATTTTTTTAATAATTAACTGTTATTGTTGTTGAAATACCATTTTTTTAATTTTTAAAAATATATGGCTTACAGAATTTTTGTTTCAAAATGGCAGCTACTTTTATAAGTTTTCTATTTGTAAAACTCCTCCTCAACTATTTCATATCCTACATCCATCATCATATTTTGAATAAATATCAAAACAAACATATCTTAACCAACAACCATACTCCCACTGCTACTACAAATGCTATTGCCAATACAACAACAACACATCCGGAACGCTGAAATTAGGAATGTGAAGATGAGCTGACACAAAAGGGTGAAATGGTGGCACGCCTACAAAACAAAGCCTCGCAAATCGGTAACATTTTACAATCACTGGAAAAGAAATACGAAAATAAAATGGATACATCCATGATGGGATCGACTGTAGCATCGGCTGCGGAAAAATCACCCACTAGTCGTCGACAACAAAATCTCCAGATATTCGAGGCCCTCACCAAAAAACATAAACAAGACATTGGACCACCGATGAAACGTTTACATTTAAAAATGGATGGTATACCGCCATTTAATCCAAATAATTATCGTAAATCACCCTCTGCAACATCGGAAAAATTCCATGAATCCATACCGGAGGTGAAGACACCAATGTCAGCGAAATCTCTTAAACTTTGTATGGATGAGGGTAATGTTGGAACTGGAACTACTACTACTGTTGATGATCCTCAGCATCACGACAATACACAACATGATAATAAGAATGCTGCGGATGCAGATACAGAAATGCCACCGGTAGCCGCCTCATTACCCAATAACACTACATCAACTGCAGCGATGAGTACATTTTTTGCAGCAGCAACAACAGCAGCTGAAGAAAAAACGCCAACAGCTGCTGTCCCAGCAACAACGGCTGTTAATTAAAAATTGAAAAAAAAATTCTCTATTTTTTCGTATTTTAGAAGTTTAACAACCATTTATAAGTATTTTGTTTAGATTATATATGAAGTTAATTGCATTTAGTATTTAGTTTTAATATTATATAGAGATTTAAAATCTCTATTCTAAAAAAAACATCGAATAGATGCACCCATATCGTCTTATACATGATCGATCAAACTATTTAAATGTTAACAAATCAGATTTTTCCCAATTCTTAATTTTATAGAACAAATTTTCCCAAGTGGACTGTTATATTCCACAATGATCGCTTGAATTAAAGGGGCACATACGAGGGAAGTTCGGAAAGTTCTTAGCGTAGCAAAAAAAGCGCGGTATAAAAAAAGTTAAGTGTTTTGGAAACTTCCATCTCTGTTATGAACACATGCTAATTTTTTTTCGATCTGGCAACTCCTTCATATAGAAAGAGCTGTTCAAAAAAGACGCATCCGCAATTTTTTACAATGAAAACAAGCACTTTGCTAGACTAAGAACTTTCCGAACTGGCTTCGTAAATGTCGAACTGGTTCCAAAGCCTTCTGGACTTGCACTTGTCTTACAACACCTATATATTTATAGGATACTCCTCAGAAGATATTGTACTAGTGTTTTTTTGTGGAACGAATTACTTCGGATATTTTATCGCTAGAAAATCAAGTCTTTTTACCTTTCTTATAGCTTGGAAAAATTATATAGCTTCCTGGATGTTGTTTATAGACTCATGACATTCTATAGGTCTTCGATAGGCATAAGATTTTGTTTTATTATTTCAAAAACTTCCGAAAAAACTCATGTTCAACAAGTGTACTGTTATGTTCCAGGATGTAGCCTGCATTGAATCGTCGAAGGTACATATACAACGTGAGATAAAAAAACTGCAACAAAGTCAAACGCCATAATTTTTGCATTTTTTTTAAATTTTATTGAATGAAAGCAAAAAATGTCGGAAATAGCATCAAATTGTATAATAAATTTAGATTTGTTCGAATTGGTCACCTTTGACACGAATTATGGTCTTCAAACGGCCAATGAAACTGTTACACGCTGTGCGAATGTTGCTCTGCGGTATTTTGACCCATTCCCGGCGAAACGCTTGCTTGAGGTGATCGACACTTTGGTATTTTTCTGTCCCAACCTTGCTTTCCAAAATACTCCAGCAGAATAATAGTCTAACGGATTGGTATCCGGAGATTTTTGTGTCCATTGTGCGCTGGAAATGAAGCGATGAACGTCATTTTGTAACCATTCTTGGGTGGCGCATGCTGAGTGCGATGGAGCTGAGTCCTGTTGGAATGTCCAAGGTCTGCGGCATTTATTCTGATGCCACGGTCAATTAATACGAGCGGAGATCGACCATCGGCTGTTATGACTGCCCACACCATCACCATGGCCGGCGCTTGAGTTCTGGTGGCCAGCTGAAGGTGCACATTTTCAGCTGACCTCTTTGGCAAGTAAACATAATCATTTTGACTGCTGGACAACGAATGTTTTCTCATCGGAGCAAACAAAATTCGTCTATATTCGTTCTGTTGCGGTGTAAGTTCTTGTACTTTTTGGAATTTCAATGGCTTTACCCCGAGCTCATATTCCAATATTTGCCGAATCGGCCACTGCTTGCTTAACGTCGGGCTATGCTACCAATATCACGGTAACGAACGATGGTACGATACACAAAACCATTCGCTATTGTTTGTTTTCATTTGCAAGCGAATGTCAGAAAGAATTTCAACCATCAAACGAAACAAACGATCGGCCAAACGCGAACATTCGTTTTGCGAATGCTCGTTTGGTAAAGAACCGCGATAAATTCATTCGTAAAATGAGCCCAAAACGAAAATCATTCGCAAGCGAATTTTACATTCGCTCACGAATAACAACAAAAATTCGCGAATGCTCGTGACTTCTCACACATTCATTCGTTGTGTGTGTTTACTTTTTTATGATCTTTTTATTTGTTGTTGTTTTTAACAGCGCTCGTGAGAAACGAATGTTCGTGAAAGATCGAATCGAATTCTCGCCGTGAGCATTCGTGAGAAAAAGCATATTTTAATTCGTTCGCCGTACCCTGCTTTTTGGGTTATGGAGTCGAAATAGCAGGAGTCTTGTTGCTTAGTGTAGATGATCTTCAAATTTATCATAATACTTCGTGCATAACCACTTGGAGCACAATGTCTCCAAAGGAGATCTGGGCAATTTAGTACGATAATGTACATTTTTTTCTTATTCTTATCTGGTATTATGATTTTTTGTTATTATAAATAATATACCATATAGTAACATGTTTTATTTGTAAAAAAAATAAATAAATAAAGCAAGACAATTAAATGTATTATAATATATATTTAGTTTATAAATTATAAAAAAAATATATACTAAAAAAACACAACTAATTTATGCCTTTATAATTCAAAAAAAGTAAAAGAAAAGAACATGTTATAAAAAATATGAATATAAATTATATAATCCATAGTAAAAATAACTATATATACATACAAATATACTATATGCGAAATATTTTATTTGTAAAATAAAATAACCTACACCTTTTTTAAATTGTATTCAAAACATTTCAATAGCAATTCAAGAATTTAATTTTGTAATTCGAAAACTCAATTTGCAATTCATAATAAATCGTATTCAAAACATTTCAATTGCAATTCAAGTATTTCATTTGTAATTCGAAAACTCTAGTTGCAATTCATAACATTTCAATTGTAATTCGAGAATGTAATTGGTAATTTAAAACATTTCATTTGAAATTTTAAACTTTTAACATGAAATTAAAAAAAACATTTGAAATTTAAAAAAAAATCATTTGTAATTTTGTATATTTCCATTTGAAATTTGTAGAGATTTTTTTTTTAACTTCAAATAAATTTATTTACAATTCACAGTATTCAATTTGAAATTTATAAAATTCCACTTGTAATTCATAATAGTTCAGATGTAATTTGTAACAATTCATTTCAAATTCACTTTGTGTTTTACCAATAATATTTTTTGAATTTAAAATGAAATGTTATGAATTTCAAATGAAATGTTATGAATTTCAAATGAAATGTTATGAATTTCAAATGAAATGTTATGTATTTCAAATGAATTCTTATGAATTTCAAATGGAATGATATGAATTTCAAATATAATTTTATGAATTTCAAATGGTATTTTATTTATTTCAAATGGAATTTTATGAATTGCAGGTGCTATTACATGGAATTTCAAATAGAAGTATGAGAATTTCAAATGGAATTCTAGGAATTTCGGAAGGTATTCTATGAATTACAAATGAAACATGAATGAATTACAAACAAACATTACATTACATATGTTTTGAATAACATGTGTAAAAAGTGTTGATTTTGAAATCCTTTAGATTGATATATATATAGTTCACGAGAAAACAAGAAAGTAAAACGAATTTCAATTGAGTTAATCTAAGACTTTTCAAATAAAATATTTCGCATATTGAAAGAAATGTAGAAAAATATAAAAATTTGATGATGTGGTTTATGGTACCTAGAACTTCTTCTAGAACCCATTATAAAAGAAATCCTAGATGTTTATAACCAAAATGATGGTTGGTTAACAGTCTAAAGAAACTAAAGGAACAAAAAATACAAAGGAATACTAATAAATGATAAAACTTAGCAAAAATGTTGAAATTACAAAACAAATATATAGATGAACATTGGTCGTAAAGAGATATAATATATGACAAAAAACACAACTATATATTATAAATTATATTATCTGTGTTGAATGATATGATTATATTGAATTATTATAAAAAAATTAAGTAGATTTTCAATTTAGATTATATTCAACAACAACCAAAAAAAAATAATTTAGATTTTTTTCGTATTAAAAAACCAAAAAAAAAAAACAAAGAAAAGTTGAAAACAATAATTTAAAGGAAAGCTTTAACTTGTACCATGCTTCAACTAACTTATATCTACATACATAACTTACATTATACATATATATAACTCGTCAAACACTCACTCATTTACATATAAATTTTATTATTAATTCATACATATTAGTATTATATGATATTATATTATTATATTATTTCAAGTGTATTGAATTTAGAAATGCATTTTTTTATTTTCTTCTTCTTCGAATTCATTTAATAACAAAGAGTCTCTAAACATCACATTACTACACTCATATATAACAAAAAATGGTGTTTGGAATGTTATAAACTAATAAAAATGATTAAAAATGGGTTCTTTATTTTATATATTTTTTCATTTTACTTTACTAATTTATTAACAATAATTTTAAATGATATTCAAATAAAACGGAAAATGTACCAAAAAATGTTGTGTGTTTTTCTCAAATTGTTTTTTTTTCTTCTTCGTTTTATATTCGCCAGGAATGTGAATCATCGCTAAAACACAAGACGGAAGTTTTGAAAAAATTAGAGTCACAAAAAGAATACATGGCCACAACGATAGCCACCTTAGAACAAAAGTAAGTTTAGTTAGTTTTCTTTTTTCATTCTCAGTAAGATAATGGAAACATGGTTTTGGTGTTTTGGCATGACAAGATGGTGAAATTTTTTTAAATTTTAATAACCTCTACACTTTTGAAATATTTGGAATCGAATTAATTTGCCTTCACTTCTTTATTTTTATACCCTTCACCACAGGCAACGAGATAGACTCATGGTTCCTTATGAAAATATGCATAAAATCACTTTCTGACTCGATGTCCGTCTGTTGATTTTAAATTATAAATAAAGTACAGGTCGTATTTATGATCTGATTTGGATGAAATTTGGTACATATTATTTATTTGGACCTATTAAAATTGGTGAAAATCGGTGCGGATTTGGATATATCTCCCAAAGATATTTTTGTCTGATTTTATCTGAAAGTTGCTCAGGTTAGGTTTGGCGATGTGCAGTCACTTATGTGGCTGCAGCACTTTATGATCCGATTTGGATGAAATTTGGTACAGCTTATTTATTTTGACCTATTGAAATTGGTAAAAATCGGTGCGGTTTTGGATATATCTCCCAAATATATTTTCGTCTGATTTTATCAGAATGTTGCACAGGTTAGGTTAGGTTTGGGGATGTGCAGTCACTTATGTGGCTGCAGCACTCTGAGACCGTCAGGTCCGATGTGATCATCCACGAGAAGAAAAGAGATAAGGGGCGATCTATAGGGGAGAGAAGATTGGGGAAATAAAGAGAGATGAGAAGCTTACAGGAAGATATAAAAAGGTAAGTTTGGAATAATGTCGATGGCTACAGAGATCAGACAGAAGATTTATTACGTGTCAAGGTTGCACTTTCCCAACTAATTTAGGTTTGTAATTATGCTGTTTCAAATTAAGTCATTACCAAAGATGTCACGTCCTGGTCCTGGTACACAACAAAGCCGATAGCTGTAAGTAAGTTCTTCCAAAGCTGCTCTACACTTGAGGACGGCCTCAGATACGACCATGCCCAAAGGTACAACTTCGCCAGGGGTTTTGTTCATGCATCCTTAGGACACCACGCGGCCTGACACTTCCCATATATATATATATATATATATATATATATATTCGGCGGATTTGATGTAAATGGTACACTAAACTCCCACGGTTTGCAGATTGAGGCGAAATTTTGCATGGCACACTGAATCGAGGTCCATTATAAGGGTAGATTTTTTAGGAAGGTCCATCAAAGGCGCAGTTTTTTTTTTTTTTTTTGAAGAATATTTTTAAGGTCGATTCGATTTTTTAATAATGTTTTTTTTTTCAACGCTCTTAGTTAGGTTAAAGTTTGTGCGACTACCAATTAGCAGTCGCTTCACTTGGAGACCAAAACTTGTTGTTGTTGTAGCAACTGAAGTAAAAATCCTTATATTATCAGTGCAAAGACCACTTGTGTTGATCCAGACAATTGCTTCTTCTCTGCTGTTATGAATGATAAATGGTTTCTGACAAAAAATGGACCGGACAAGATTGTTGATCTAGAATGAGAACTCTCTCTCACAAAAGATCATGAAGACCTCCACTAACGTGCCTGGGCGGGGGATGTTTGTCCATTAGGCTATGGATGTGGGTGTTCCCGACGATAAAACCCAAGCAAGTACTGTAACATTTGGTTGTGTCGATGAATCTTCGACTCATCACGAAGATGGTCCACTGTTGTCTTGAGGAGGCAGTCTGTTGTAGTTCTCAGCGGCAACATTCTGGCAGTTCGAATATTTTTCCACTGCGTTTCTCTTACATTCGGAAACCACACTGACCACCAAGCTCTCCTTGTCTGCTGATTAGCGACTTCAGGACCTTATCTTTACTTTTCACGGGAGCTTTATGTTGTTTGATGAAAAGTGTGTCTGTGGATTTGGTGGCGGTTATTTTCATATTACTCAGATGGAAGAAGCCCATCAGATCAGCTATGTAGATCTTGCCTCGTAAATGATGGTGCTACATCCTCGGCTGATAGGGTTCGTATACGGGATGCTCTCAGGTGACTCCGGCGGAAAGTTCCACATTCTTCAAATAGACAAAGGAGGGACACACTCGTTGATCAGAGAGTAAAAATCGTCCCCACCATCGGGTTTTTTTTTAATATTTAAAAAAGAGTCCGGGTAAATGTCGGTGTCAAATTTAGGAATTTTTGCACTTGCGAAGGTGGGGTCTGAGTTTTATTTGTGATTCCTTTCTCTACACTAGCTGTCTGCCTCTAAAACACCAGCTTAGCGACAGAAGTCGGCGAATTCGTACAGTTATTCATCATTTCGCTTGCTGACTAGAGGGTGGCATTATGTCTATTGTACAATCAAAGTTATCCCCCTCGTCCGCCATTAGGGTATAGTCCCTTATGGAATGTTTTCCTGACTCAGGCGATCCATATTCCAGGGACTCACCATGTGTAGTGATGCTGTCATTGATCGTCAAGTTTTCTTGTGGCAATGGGGACTAAGGGTACTAAGGGAGCCACACCAACTTAAACCGAATAGTTAATATTAGAGGTGTGTCGATGTTTCGTTAAAAAAATAGCCATATTTTTTCAAGGATTATTTTATAAACAAGGAATGTGGAAAAGGCATTGATTTCGCACCCATCATTGATGAGAAAATTTGAAAATATCCAATATTTGTTTAAAACAAAATGTTGCGCCAAAAACCCAAAACCAGTTTCAAAACTTTAATTTTTAACCTTCCTATTTATAATTAATACCACTTTCTTTTTCCGCAACTTCATTTTTCTCTCCCTCCCCTTTTCTCATTTAGATGGAGCAACGATAAAGTGAATTTAGGTGAAATTCTCAAGACTACCTCACAAACCTTATCTACTCAGGTTAGCGCTTCCGAAGAGCGTGCAACACGTGCCGAAAATGAACTAAAAAAAGAACACGAATTGCGGATAGCATTGCAGGAATCTGAATTGCAGCTGAAGGAGAAAATAATTACGCTAGAAAATCAAATAAAAGAACTCAGTGCCGAAGTACAATCAACGAGACAACTAAAACCTGAACTAGAAAAATTACGACATCAATGGTCAGAGGCTCAAATTACCCTCGAAGAATTGGGTATACAATTAAGTGAAAGTAAACTGAAGGTTTCCGAACTGAAGGAGAAGGAAAAACTGCAACAGGATATGTTAAATAACTCAATGTCTTCGTTAGTGAGTGCTGGTAGTGGAGGTGGTAGCGCGGGAGAAGTACAACAACAGACAGCAACAACACCAGGGGCCAGTACTGGACTCTGGGCACCCGATTCAATAACCACGCATTGTACCAGTTGTCGAAAAGAATTCAATTTAACACGACGCAAACATCATTGTCGCAGTTGTGGTGAGATTTTCTGTAAAGCCTGTTCCGATCACACACTGCCGCTGCTCAATGAAAATGGTCAAGTGGGGAAACCGGTGCGGGTTTGTCTATCCTGTTTTGCTTCACATAAATGAACAACAGCAACTATCATCACTAACAACAATTCTACAAAGAATTACATCAACAAAAACTAATGCCGTGTAGTGCTATAGTATAATAAATAAATTTTTATGTTTAACTAGTTTTATATGAGTTATATAACATATATATATATATATATACACAATATATGTGTATATGTATGTATATGAAAACATAAACAAAACAAATTGTGGTTGTTCTCTTCTCTATAGAAAATTATATTGTTTGTACAGTATTTTTAACAGTAAAATTATCAAAAACAAATGCAAATTTTCGTAAATTTTTTAAACGAAAATTTTATACCATGCTTTGTAATTGTTGTATCGTATAGGTAAATTTTAGAAATTTATTGTATTTATACGTGTATATTTATTATAAAAAAATGCAAAATTTCTTAAAAAACGAAATATATTTTTGTGTCGATTTCTGTAATTTTATGAATTTGTTTACTATTAATGATGTAGTCGCCACACTTGAAGACATAATTGTTATCATCCTAAAATAAGTTGTAAAGAGCGGAAGCTACATACATTGCAGGTTTATGAAAGAACGGTTGTTCCATAAGCCAAGCTTGTCTCCTTTTTTGTGCACGGGACACAGGATGCTGAGGTTCCAATCATTAGGCATGCATTACTCTATCATCGACACCTGCTGCTTTATTGTTCTTCAGCCGATTAATTGCTACTCTGACCTCATCTTGGCTAGGTGGTATAGACTCTATACCGTCATCTCTTATTGGTTCTGGGGTATCTTCTTCACCGCCAGTATTTGATACCAGAAGCTTCGCAAAATGTTTCTCCCATATCCTTAACACGCTGTCTGTATCTGTCACCAGGCTTCCTTCTTCATATCCACAGGAGGATGTGCCTTCCGTTTGGTGTTTTACTCGTTGGTAAAATTTCCGGACTTCATTCTGACTCCTGTACATCCCGATTTGCTCACGCTCACGTTTTTCTTGTTCTTTATTCTTTTTTCTGAAGATACGTTTTTCCTCTCTCCTTTTCTCCGGATAATTCTCCATCGCATTCGTGTTGCTACAGTGTTGCCCCATACGCTGCGCATTACGACACTCCTGATGAAACCATGGGTTTCTTAATGGTGGCCTTTGGTACCCAATTTTTGCCTTTGCTGCAGTTTGTAGGGAGTGGGCAATTCTTTGCTATTGTGCTTCTATATTATCAAAGAGTGCTTTCGTCAAGCAAGTGGGTAAGATGAGCGGAGCAGGCTTCCGCTATCTTTTGTGTTTGCAGCTTTTCGTCGTCCAGTTTCCGTATTCTATCGAAGAAAATAGTAGATTCTTGTAGTATGAGAACAGACCATATGCAAAGCCAAACATGTTCTATTAATTGATTTTTTTCACTTTTCCTTTATAATTGCAATGTTTCCGGACCCGAAAGAATCAAACAGAATTATTTTCGATTTTCCCTTTTTAAATTTTAAAAAGTGTATCACTTTTTGGGTACGGTTGCAGACCCACATTTTTTATATTTACTGCCCACCACACAAAAATAAAATAGAATAGCATAATTTCTCCATAATTAGGAATTTGAACCTATTCCTAAACAAATTATAGGAAGTTTTTAAAATTGGGCAAATACGGAATTTTGACCGGCAATTTTCTAATTACAAATTGCACAGTGTAATTCGCCTATATTCCATTACCTATATTGTAGAATTTCTGATATAGACAAATTTTTAATTATGTAATTAGCAAGTAGCTCTGGCCTGCCTTTTATCATTTTTATAGGTATTCCAAATTCCAATTTAACAAAAATCATCCCATTGTACAAAAGTCGACATCAAAAAATTCATTATCGACTAATCGATTATATTGCAACACAAAAGTCAAGCAATCGATTAAACACAAAATCGAACTACATCCCCCTATTGTTAACTACAACAAGGTCATACTAAGGTCGTACTTATTCGCCGAATAGCAATCGTCGAGAAAGGTACTAAAAGAAAGTGAAAGGAGAGAAAAGTTCGTTATTTAAAAAAAACTATAATTACAAAATATTCAATATTCGCTTTTTCAAATTATTTTAACCGAAATCTTGTTATTTCCATAATAGCCCGCTCCCTGTAAAGAACAACTAAAAAACAACAACCTTAAACATGGCTCGCAAATTCTGTGTTGGTGGTAACTGGAAGATGAACGGTGATAAGGCATCTATCACTGAATTGTGCAAAACCTTGTCCGGTGCCACTTTGGATGAAAATGTTGAAATTGTTTTGGGTTGTCCCTTCGTCTACATTAACTTTGCTCGCGATCTCTTGCCCGCCAAATTCAATGTTGCCGGTCAAAATTGCTACAAAGTTCCCAAGGGTGCCTTCACCGGTGAAGTCTCGCCAGCTATGTTGAAGGATGTCGGTGCTGGTTGGGTTATCTTGGGCCATTCGGAACGTCGTCATGTTTTCGGTGAACCCGATGAATTGATTGCTGAAAAGGCTGCCCATGCTTTGGCCGAAGGTTTGAAGGTCATCGCCTGTATCGGTGAAAAATTGGAAGAACGTGAAGCTGGCAAAACTGAAGCTGTTGTTGCTAGCCAAATGGCTGCCTATGCTAAGACCATTAAGGATTGGACCAATGTTGTTGTTGCCTATGAACCCGTATGGGCTATTGGTACTGGTAAAACTGCCACTCCCCAACAAGTAAGTTTGTAATCGCAAAAAATTGTATTGGATTAAGTATCTAAGTGCAAGGGTAGATAAGGGGAGGTTGTTATAAAAAGAAGAGGAAAGGGGTGTTTTATGTGAAATTATTATTGTTAAAATTTTTATTATATGTTTAGTATATGAAAAGTCAAATGTCGAAATGATATTTAGAAAATTTTAAAGGTCAACCAAAATGACCTTGGAAAGGAGATATTGTTGTAGACTTTGCTTTCATATTGAATCGTGTATATTTTTCTATTGTAGAGCCATGAAAACAATTATTACCCTTTAAAGGTAGTGAGTGATGATGGCATATAGTAATAAGAAGACTGCTAAAGCCGAACTGTTAATTGAAGTGGAGTATTAGGTTCCATAAATTTAAATGTAGGAAAGATCATTAATAATATGATTTTGTAGTTTTGAATTTTGGAGAAACAAGCATATTTACATGGTTTCTGTCCAAGGGGAACACTGTGGGAGACCAGTAAGAGAATAAATCACTTTTGCTTGCAGGAGACCTATTCTATATCTTGTGTCTATATTAGGAATAATATTGAATTTATTCTGTATAATGGTTTCCTGTGTAACGAATATAGGACTAGTGTTCATTATGGGACTAGTCATTCATTATGTTTGAATCGTTCGGAAACCTACAGATATTAATCTAGAGCCTAAAATCCAATTTCATTAGTACAAGGAAAAATTACAGTAGTTGATTATAAAAAAGCAGTAGGTAGGTAGAGAATATGTCCCTAATGTAGCAGCATATTACACCAAAACACTGTACTAGAAGTGTTAAATTTTGGTTTGTCAAAAAAATTTTGCCGTTATCAGTGTCCATCGCAATCACCATGGGGAATCTTAAAGAAATAAAAGCAAATTGTAGGATTTAAAAGTAAGCAGCAAGGAAAGTAATAAAGTGGGACATGACCGACAATATCATACCCTGAGCCTAAAGACGATATTCGTGGGTTAATGTTTAACATCCAAACATATATACGCCAGAGTTGAAGTATGGTGTATTGAAAACTCGAGTAAACCGATGATATTCAATGCATCGTCTTCTGAAATACCCGTCATCCATGTAGGGGTATTGAAATCCAGAAAGTCGACCACATGAAAACATTAGGTATTTATATTGACTTCAAATTGAAGTTGATTTGAACAGTATGTTTTAGATTTTCTGGGATGTTCTTTTGGTAGTTTCATTAAAATCAGCTTAATCTATAAAGCTTTTAAATATGAATCTCCGCAGTACATTTTGACAATGTTTAGTTTGGGTTTGTTCTCGCGATTGAATACATTGATATGTCCGAAGTTTAATTCTCTTATAATGCTGCACTCTTTTGAGGTTCGAATTTGTAGAATTTTGAATATATTTATACCATATGCAGAAAGAAAATTTCTCATGCTAGAAAAATATAGGTATTTTATGGACGTGCATATTATGATATTCCATGACTATCAAAAGCTTATCTTTTGATGTACAGAAAAAGTTCTTCTGTCTAAGGATTTCATTCATAGTCATATGAAAAGTCTTCTTTTACAAAAATTATCTACCTGGAGATCTTTAGTAGATCTACAATCTATAAATGGATACTATTTAAATAAATATACATCGAAAACTTTAATATGTGGATGATTTTATTATTGAAAGAGCTTAGTTTTATCTAAGGAATGTATAAAAAGTTTGTATTTTTATAAGGGGTTAGCCTAAAATGTGGACTAATATTGATAGGTTTTGCTAGAATGATACCATTTTAGTTTCAAAAACGTGCCCCAATATTTCCAATATTGGGGAGTTGCGTTTTATGGGAACTATACCACACATCCTATCCTAAAAAATACTTAATTACTATAAAATTTATTTTAGGGATATTGAATACATATACACAAGTCTCTTAAAATATCTGTAAATGATCTGATGTAATATTATATCCTTATTGTATTTTCTTTTGTTGTCCTGACCCCCCTTAATTTTTCTATTGTTAAACGAAGTATTTAAGAATGTTGTTTTGTTTTTTAGTAAACAATTAAACAATAGTTCGATTACAGCATAGGGTACATAATATATTTAGGCACATACAAACAAACAAAAGAAAAACAAAGGGAAATAAAAGATCAACAGTTTTCCGAAAAGAAATTTAAAAACATTTTGGCTATGTGCCAAAAACTAGACACCCGTTTTTGTACACATGTAAAAACATTTTTTAATTAATTTTATTTGCCGTATACAAAGGCCAATATTATACCCTATACGACATTATAATAATTTATTTCTATGTAATTTATTCTTTTTTAGGCTCAAGAAGTCCATGCCTATCTCCGCAAATGGTTGGCTGAAAACATCTCCAAGGAAGTTTCCGATTCTCTACGCATTCAATATGGTGGCTCTGTTACCGCTGCCAACTGCAAAGAATTGGCTGCTCAACCTGATATTGATGGCTTTTTGGTTGGTGGTGCCTCGTTGAAACCTGAATTCATTGATATCATCAACGCCAAGAAGTAAATCTTCCCCCACCAAACAACCAATAACACCAAATAATATCAATTCTCATAAGGAATTAATGTTAAAAAAAAACAAAGTGTTCATACAGAAGAAGAAGAAATATTGCATTATATCACTTGTTAAATAAAAAAATGTTTTTTGAATACAATCAATGTTAATGTTAAGCAGCGCAAAACAAAATTAATCAAACATAGCAACAATAACAACAACAATACATCGTGTGTAGTGCAATTTTTTTAGAATTCAGTTTTATTTCTTTTGAAATTGATTTCATTTAACTTATTATTTTTTTTTTTTCTAAAACATTTATCATTATAAGCAAAAACAAGTAAAGTGAAAAAAAGCAACTGTGTTGTTTTTTATTATGTTTATAAATTCTATCTATATATCTATAATTTATAATGACAAAAAATAAACTCATTCTTTAGTTATAAAAAAAAAACTGTTGTCCATTGGTCACCGGGTGGGTGTGTTAATATTGTTAATTATCTCCAATATGTTCTTTGTTAGTTTAGAAGGGGCAAAGGTGAAATGTTATCTTACTGAAACTAATTAGGTTGTGTGGACACATAATACTACTGCTAATGTTAGACTTGAGTAATAATAAAATGTATGATATGTTTACTGATTATGAGTCTGTTTGCAAAATTTTGTTTTTGCAAATGAAAAGAAGACAAACGAATTTTATAGAAAAAAAAACACAATTGCGGTACAGTATCTAAATGGTTATTATTTTCTCTGCAACAAATTGTATTAAAAATTGTATAATATAGAGGAAAGCTTGTCCTCTTTAGAAGAGGCATTCTATTTTTAGAAGAGTTTTGAAAGGACTTCTGTATGTAGAATATTTATGGACAAGTTTTATCAGTTGATGACCTATATTTATTATTTATATTTGCAAGAGGAGTACTATTCACCATGAGGTGGAAATTCGAAATATCTAAAATCAATCGATATATTTATGTTGATAATCTAGCTTTCTTCTCTAAAATAGGCCCCAATCGAATACTAGGCTTTGTCAAAAATCTGACATGAATAAAGTAACCATCTCTAGGCTCTCTTTCTTATGGACAATGGACAATAGTCTCCGAGTGAACGGTTGTTACTAACATCCGTACATCTCCAACCTAATCCATATGTTCATATTGTTGAAATACGTGTTCGTAATATTTCAGATAGAGCTTTGAACATTTTTGTACCTACATTGTTACTACTCCCAGGATGTTTAATATTGATATATCGGTCCTTGTTTAGATATATCCCCCATATATTGGATAGCAAATCTCCCTACCAAAAATGATCGTTTCCACGACAGAGGGGTCTACGATCCGAAACGAACCAAGTCTTCCTCGGCCAACGTCTGTCTCTTCAGCGTATTGTGTAAAAAATAGGACTGTTACAACAACAACCAAAACTGATAGATATCTGTCCAGTTTTGAGGAAATATCAATTTTGCCTTCCAAAAATTATCGAATTCGATCGACTTTTGAGAATAGCTCCTATATTACGGTACCCCAATTATACGGTATTTAAGGCACGTTTTGAACCGAGTTGGCTTCAATTTGGTCCTCCTTGGGTGTCAAATATTCCTACCTACAATTTATGAATTTCCCGAACGATTACTGGTATATTAAATGTCCACCCCACGGTTGAGGGTAAAAAAAGATCGACCCAGTTGAGGTTGACGACGTTTTTACACCGTAAAGTTCCCGGGTATTGTAAGGAGCCTTCGTGTAGGCCGCTTATACTTGACGATATGTTTATTGGTTTGCTGTTTGTATTTGTGTGGTTGTATATAAGACATTGATATTTTCTGCAGATGCAAGGTGTTCGCTCTGTCCACTTATATTAGCCTCTTAAATGCAGGAGAGATATACAAATTCTTTTAAGGCCTGCCACCCACTATACACCATGGGCTTTCGTCCTTGCATTGAAATTCTAATCAACTTAAAATAATATTTCATTCTAAAATTTATTTATAAAGAAATTTCAATATAAAATTTGAGTTCGATATTTTTGCAATTAATTTAATTTTTTATCCGGAAATAATTAAAGATACTTAAGCATAATTAAATTTTCGCAATGAATACCAACGGAAATCCTTTCAATGTATCTATGGCTGGAGTTACTCCTGTAGGAAATGTAACCGGTGGCGTGGGTTATATTGTTGACATTATTGTTATTCGTTTGGAAATTGGTGATACGGATACCCAACAATCGATTGACAAAGATCCCGCTACCCTTGTCGTGGAAGCCACATTCAATAAAGATGAATTGAAAATTACATCAAGTCGTATAAATGTTATTGAATTTAAATCGGGAAAAAGTTTTGAATTTATGGAAAATCCCAGTGTACTTCGAGATGATTTGATGAAAAATAAATTGAAATTAAAAATAAAACATTCGGGAAAGGAATTGGGTTGTGCAGCTGTGGACTGGCCAGAGAGTTTTCTAAATTGTCTCATAGATCCGGCATGCAGTGGCGAATTGACACATGTCTTTGAATCGGAATTTCGTAATTGTGATACGGATAATAAATGTGGCACCATTGAGGTGATAGTACGTCTACAAACAAAGTGTGCGGAATGGAAGTGAGTATAGAGGTTTTGGAATGTAATTATTTATATGTACTAATGGGTGATTTTTATTTTATATTTCAGTGACGATGCCATGTGTGGACCAAGGGAAGATATGGCCAAGGCTGCTAATAAAGTAATTGATCCAAATGATATTTTGTTTGTGGTGGGTGAAGATAAAAATCCTTGTTGTTGTTCTCAAGTTGGCCTCATACCTGCCACAGATTCGGATAAATCGTTGCATCCTACGTGTTTGGATCTTTCGAATTTTCGTTCTGTCAATGGAAAAACTGTACCAAATGCCGATATTTTGAATACACTGGATCCAGCATGTGGCGAACTGAAGGTAAGGAGGCATTTGAACTTGAAAATACTAGTTGTTCCACTTAGAAACCTAAAGTAGTTGGGAAAGTGTAACCTTGACACATAATATATCTTCTTTCCTATCACTATTGCCATCGATATTATTTCAAACTTACCTTCTCACAATGGTCCTGACGGTCTCAGAGTGCTGCAGCCACATAAGTGACTGCACATCCCCAAACCTAACCTACCTTTAGTGTTAGCCAGACTTGCCATTGCTGACCTTCATTATCCATCCTGTGGAAGACTTACCAATTCTTAACCAGCAGTGTTTTCTTCTCCATACCAAAAACTTCAATCGTGCGTTCTGTGGTGAACTCGCTGTCCCAATTTCTGAAGAAACTGTTTATAGCTGAGTAGCTGTTTCTTTTCCTCCTCATCAGCTTGAGTTTGATTGTCTCGCCACTAGCATCGCATAAGATGGCGTCTTCTACCAATTGTACTGCCCCTTCCTCGTGCCGGTATTAACGGTATTGCCGGTATTAACGGAAGATAGCGATGGAATTTTTATCTTCTGAGCTTCTATAGTCCTTTCCTTTTCAAACTCTAGCATTAGACAATGTCCCTTGAACTCGTAGATTTCCCGATCGATGGAATTCCCTCTTTGCAGCAGGTGCTCCATGCCTCGGCTCCAATATCTCGCCTTCTGGGTATTAGAGCCAATTACCATCGTTAGTTCTCGTGGCATTCTGACACTCTTTTTATTTCTTCTTCGTTTGACATTCGTCTACTTTTCCGGAGACCTAAACCTCTTCGCCACATACGAGAAAGAGGAGAAAAGGTTAGGCTTAGTATACTGCGCCATCAGTCTGCTGTTCGCTCTTGTTTCTCCAGTTCATCCTGGTCAGTTTCCGCCTTTGCGTCCTAGATAGCGGTGGTTTTTAAACTCAGATCCATTTTTGCCTGTTGACAGCATGCTTGTAGCGATACCCTCGACTACAGATGCCAAGATATATGTAGGAGATTTTTACTCATGATCGCAGGATGACGATGGATCGTGACTCGTGCACGGTATTTGGTATTTCGTTGTCTTCTGATTGCAACATACTATGACACAGCCCCCTTAAACAAGTGCTGATCGATTTTAGAAATTTTGATTCATGATAAAAATTAGCGAATTTTTTACTTATTTTAGTATTTAATCACCCTTCTTACCATTACAGAAAGTCACCAATCAATATCAAAAGTTAATTGATTCTTTGGTGGGCAAACCAAAACCTTCACCATGCTGTTCAAAAAAAGCCGAATCACCGGCTCATCATGATCCATGTTCAACGTCATGCCATCAAAATTTGCCAGCTGCCAGTAGATCAGGTACTAATTGCAAAACAATAAATAAATATAAAAATTCTGAAATTTAAAATATTTTCAATAAATTATTTAATTAATTGATTTTTTTGTGTTTTTATTTATAGATATCCATAATCAGAGGTCTATCTCAATCGAATGTTCCGATGAGGGTCTTTTTGAACCACAGAAAATTATAAATTTTTGTCATAAGGATTCGGTACCTCAACTGATTGAAGAAACTCCTGTTCGTCCGAGGTGAGTATATATTTTTAACAAATTTTGAAATAGGCTGAGCAAATACATATATTAACCGTAAGAAGTTAGAAAGGAAAATACTTAGGAATAAAATAAAGTTTGTAAAAACGTCGCTAAGTCCGCCAAGATCGACCAAAACCACAAAAAATTGGGTGGTACCTTTACATAGAAGTTATTTATATTTCTGGTAGAAGGCTACAAGATATCTCCGTTTACGGAAAAGTCAAGATTTTAGTTGTTCCGTGACCAACTAATTCAAAAGAACTATTCCTCAAAAGCAATGATCTGTTCTACGTTTAGTTATTTCGTTCATCTAGTTCCTTTTGCTCAAATCCTCCCTTCTTGCTCTTCACCTAGTTATATTTTTTGCAATCGTTAATCTTAATCGTTCCGTCCATTGACCTAATTAACTGGTGTGAATCAATGAAGGATTGAGCCAATGAATAACCTACTTCGATCCGCTTAAAGAACGAGATTGCCTAATACTACAAACGTTTAGTATAAGAGAGTTTTGGAATTCTTACTACCAAAATGTACTCAGTAAAGGTACTCGAGTTGCATCAGCTGATTTGTAATCAGCTGTTTCTTAACTTCTACACGTTTATGTTTTAAAAGCATGACTCCCATAAAAAGGTCTTCAAAGCTTTTGATAACTACCTATTATACCTCAATTTTTCAGGTGCTGCCCACTGTGCAAAGAAAATCTCTCATGGTTACCAAAATTGGCGGCATGTCCAAAATGTGGCTATAAACCTATACCACAATTCGATGAAAAACCCTACGATGATCAGCTGACTGCAAATGAAATTCTTAACGATTACAAAGGAGGATCATCGTGCAGTGAAGATCAGGCATGGGAACAAAATTGTCCCCAAAACGATGAAACAGCCACCCATTGTCGCTGTACTTGTAATCCGAAAAAAGTGTGTGCCTATTGTCGTATACGAAAGTTGTGTGCTGATGTATTTCAATCTGACGGGCACCAAAAGCAGGATGAATGTGGAAAATGTGAAACAAAGTCATCGGATGTTTATAATATTTGTAAAACCAATAGTAAAGATTGTCGTCCACATCTGACGCGGGTATTTTCCGAATTGAAAGATCTGTACGATATTCGCGATGTGAAGAAGAAAGATTTCGAAAAGGATGTACGATGTGAAAGGGAATTAAATCGTGGCAGTAAAACGCAGAGGGCATGTGATAAACAGCAGAAGGAAAAAGGGAATTGTAAGACAAAGGCTCATAAGGGGCAAGTTGATGAGGCGGAAAGGGAACAGTTTTTGGTGAAGAATTTCCACAAGAAGGGGAAAGTTTGTCGGAACAAAGCGTAAGTAAAAATTAAATCAAATAAATACTAATTATTAATGAATTGTCTTCTGGTTAGTTACAATTATGGCATGGTCCGCAAGTATCCGGGTGTACAAGTGGGCCATAAAACTTGCATAAATGGTTTTGCTGGCCGCAAAAATGTCCCACCCAATATGGGTTGGTTGTGGAGTGCTGAAGCCAAGGGTGTAAGGGCCGGCTGGAAACCAGGTGCCATACGCAAACCCATCAAAGAATTAATGAAATATTTCCTTAGAGATTTTCCCGCCGATACCTTAAGGGTATCACAATATTCTTATCGTCGGCGTCAAGGTGGTGGATTTTGTAATCAAGATGGAGAGCAGGAAGAGAATTTAATACAAAAACCCACTCTGCATATTTGTAAAAAGAATGGTGAATATTTTATTACACTACGTCCCCTAAAAGATCCTGAAGCTTTAGAAGAATGTGCCGATCCATATTTGAATATGCAACCGATACAATTTAAAATTATTAAAAATCCCCTATGCATGGAAAGACGTAAACTAAAGAAATGTCTCAAGGAAATGGGCTTCAGTAAGTGTACCTGTCACAAACCCATTGTCGATTGTTTTTGTCGCAGCTTCTTGGACAAGAAACGTTTGGAGTATCAGTGTAATAAAGAGGCACGTAATCGCAACTTACCACCTTGTAATGACACCCTGGTACTCTCCGATACAACAGATAGTGAAACGGAGTTTGATTTTGGTGTAACACCACCGGCTGGTGTAATAAAACCCGAAAGACTTAAGAAACGCAATCTTGTTAATACATCGACACAATATGATGAACAAGATTGGAATGTACCACCACTGTATCCCAAGGAACCGAATAAATATATGAAATTATATAATTGTGCCATAGGAGAACGTTTTGGTAAAGCTTTTGGTCCCTATGGACCTGGTGGTTATACACCAGGTGCTGTGCCAACAGGTGGAGTGTATGGGGGTTGTGGTGGCAGAGGTGGTGGTAAGGCAGGCGGCCGTGGTGGTGCTGGTAAATTTGCTGGTGGATTTGGAGGACGAAATCGCGGTTCTGGTGGTGCCAAAGGATCCACTTCAAAGAGTAAACTTCCCGGTGGTGGTACAGTCGATATGATGAAGTATTTGAATAAATCGAAGGGGCGCAAGTTGTCACCAGCGGAATTGGCTGAGAAAAGGTAAATAACATTTTAAATTGAATTTATTTATTTGATCACAGTATTTTGGTTTTCATTAAGTAGAAAATCTCCCTATGAAAAATTTATTTATATTAGTCCAAGTCTCAGATTAGCCTCAATATAACGGTCACAGTCAATATTCAGTATTTTGGGGGGGTTTGTTAGGGTTTCAACCGATTTGGCTCTACTTTTATATCTTGGGATTTTATTTGGTGTCAAATCATCTAACTCCTATATAACGGAACCCCCATTATTAGGTATTTTGGGTACATGTTTCAACAAAAATTTCTTGTTTTGGCCCCTTTTACCCCAATTGTTGATCATTTTTCAACACGGAGGAGGGTATAAAATGCTCGGCCATAATGAAGTTTTTATTGGTTCTCCTGTGGTCTTTCCAAATTCTGCGCCAAGCCACTGGTTCTATAAATAAATTCCACTCGATTTTGTTTCTTTTTTCACATTTTACAGAAACAGGATATTCGTAGTCTTTGTAGAAAAAATGTCCTGTGTAAATTTCAGTTTATTTTTTTGTAAAATATTTTTAAATGGATTACTTATTTTATTTATTACAGAAAGAAACGTTTACGTGAATTGACCGGCGTTGCTCCGCCCTTAATTTGTATGGTCGATAGACGTGCGAAGGCGGTGGCCGATCCTTGCTATGATCCTTGCTGTGGTGATGCTTGTTTACGTGACACTCGTATTTGTTAAATTCAAAAATCACGTCATGTCATGTCTTATTACAAAATTGCCGATTAAAAGACAGCTCTGATGTGACCTCAAAATCATTTCATCCAGTAAGAATTTGTAAACTTTCCTTCCCTTCGGCCACATAAACTTGACCGGATTGAAGTGTTCTCGACGTCCTCAAAATTATGGTATGATTGACTGTATAAAGGCTTTTTATAGGTTAAGCGTTACCAACACTCTTCGACTTATACTATGTTGCTTACGGAACCCAAGCTGATGATCTGTAACTGGACAGCTTTCCCTAATGCTGGGGAGGAGTAATGTTTCAATCTTTGCCCATTCAGCTGTTTTCCGCATTATCATAGAGATTCCGTCAGTGATTCCTCTTGTGGGAGGAAATCTTATATGATACTCTTTGCTTCGCCCTATTACTCTCGGGATTCTCGACAAACTGTTGTCGATTAAAAAAACAACTAGTGCACCTCTTCGGCGCAGTCGCCGTTTCCACGTTAAATGTGACTGAGGTCCCAACATCCTTTCCTGGGTCCAATAGGGACCTAAGCGTTTCGTAAACTATTATAACACCAATTCCGATGTTGCACTACTTCACATGCTCTATCCATGTGTTTCGCATGAGCTCCGCGACTTATGTGCTGACTTCCCACATGAGTTCCCTGACTCTCGCAACTACGGGGTTACGATAACGCTCATTTGTTAGTACAACTGCTTGTGCTGGTAAATTAGGTCTCCTCTCGGATATTCGACAAACTGGAATCAATCACCGTTTTGCTGTTAAAAATGACTGAGATCCTATCAGCCTCCATCCACCAATATTCGATCACTTCAAGTGCTCTAACCATTTATTTCGCTTGTACTCCGAGACTTATCTGCTGACTTCCAAGAATAGTTCCTTGACTAGGTCAACTATCTCTGCTGGGAAATTTCATTAATCCTGTTGGGTATTCGATCAGTATGAATTGTGTTTTTAGCTGAAGCTGGATTTGGTCTACTCTCCGTGCGTCGTTCAGTAATTACGAATTCTGGTGGTCTGCTGATGGATGCAATTATTGAGACTGCTGTTAACGTCATTTATCAAACCGTGAGATACGATGGCGGGGAAAATCTCATTCACCTGGAAAAATGTGTACAACCTTAACTGTAAGTATATATTAAATTTTTATTATAAATATTCACCGGAGAGCCTATTATAAATTCGAATTACCTATGTTACTCCTAGGATTTTTATACCCTACACAACTATGTTGTCAGGGTATTATAGCTTTGTGCAGCCCCAAAAGTTTGTAACGCCGCGAAATATTGGTCCTAGACCCACCTTTAAGTATACCGATCGTCATATCTCGACTAGCTGAGTCGATCTAGACATGTGTGTCCGTCCGTCCGTCCGTCCGTCTGTCCATTATAATTTGTAAACACGATACAGGCCACAGTTATGAACCAATCTTCACGAAATTTTGCATGTAGGATGGGTTCTGGCCAATGAAGACCCCTATTGTTTTTGGGAAAGATCGGTTAATATTTAGGGGATGAATGGACCAAATACTAAATTTTTTTCGGTTTTTCTGGTCGCTCCAGAGGCCGCAATAATAGCCCGAACATCGTGAAATTTTGCATGGAGAAGGGGATCGGGCCAAAGAATAAGCATGCCTGTTTTGATAAAGATAGGTCAATATTTAGCGGGTCAAATGGACCCTGACTTTTGTGTGAAAAATGACAAAATTTGTATTCTATAGCGTATATATTTACTCCTGAAGGACATAGACCCGAGAAGTTGATATTTTATCATAGAGGAGTGGTTGACCTTTAAATTAATACCAATTATGTTGTTGTATGTTCCCGGATGTGGGAGTTACACCTAAATATTTACAGGTATCTCCGTATTCGTATATTATTTAATAACCCATTATCACTCTAGAGAGCGGAACTATAGCGCTTATCGCTTTGAAATGTTCCATGAGGTTCCAGTTATGGTCAAGGACAACGCCTATAATTTTCGGTGAATATCAGATAATAATTTTGGAGTGTAGTGGACCGAAAACTTACTTTTTTGTGTTATTTTCGAGTCGATCTATAGACCACAAATGAAAGCCGAACATCACAATACAACTCACGGTGAAAGAAAATCTGGACAATAGCTGTACTGAATACTCGTAATATTCGGAAAATATGTATGTGTGAGGAAGAGGTGCTGTTTATCTCTAATCGGGCAAGAGGGTGCAAATATCACTAAATATTGCCCAGGCTCGGAATAAAAATCCGCAGAAAATTTGAGTTCCGAGGTAGTTGTGTAGGGTATCGTATGGTCGGCCCCGTCCGACTATACTGCTCCGCTCACTGGTTGGTATTAAAATCGGTCCACTTTAAGGTATAGGTCACATATAAATTATTTCAACCAAGTTGGCTTTATTTTATATCTTAGAAATTCTCTTTACAAGAAAGGTTACGTGTTGACTAAAGTTTCAGGGTAGACCTCATATAATGATATCTCTCATTAGTCGGCTCTAATACCTCCCATACCTCCAACTTTACTCGATTTTGATTTTTTTCTGTTTGTAATAAATCGAAATATTCAACGGATACCCTTTAAAGTTTATATATTCTTGATCAGAGTAAACTTGTATGTCGATTTATGCATGTCCGTCTGTCTGTTGAAATTACGATAGAGCTCGCAATATTTAATATAGACTCTATATTATAGAGCTTTGAAATTTTGCACATACATTGGTACTTAATCTTGGATGTTTGGTATTGAAAATGGTATCGGTCTTCGTTTTTGTATAGCCCCATATTATAACGGTACCCTAAATATTAGTGTTTTTAAGGATTTTGGTTTTTGGATCTTCAACCGAATTTGCTGTAATTTTGTATTTCAGGTTCTCATAGGGTTACACATCCTCCTACCGAAAATTATTAATATTGGTCTACCTTTTACGATAGCCCCCATAAAATGGTACCTGCCAAATTTCGATATTTTAAAGGGTTTTCAATGGGTATCACATGTTACTACTAAAAATTATAAATATTGGTCCACTTATTACGATAGCCCCATATTACGGTACCTTCCAAATTTCAGTATTTTTTGGGAGTTTTGACACGTATTACAACCGATTGTGCTGTAATTTAGTATTTTGAATTCAATTTGTATTCCTAACATTTTTTTTTGAATATTGGTCCAGTTTTTACGATAGCTCCCATATAACGGTACCTTCCAATTTTCGGTATTATAGGGAGCTTGGGCACGTTTTACAACCAAATTGGCTGTAAATTGGGAGGCAAATATTCCTACCAAAATTTTTCAATTTGTACAATAGCCTACATATAACGGTATCCCCAAATGTCGGCAGGGTTTCAAACCGAATTGCCTTCAATTTGGTATTATAAATTAAGGTTAGGTATGAAATCTACTTACCAAAAATGTTCAGTTTTTACGATAGGAAAATTTTTCAATATTGGTCCATTTGTTACAATAGCCTACATATAACGGTAACGTTATTTTGAGATTTTTTACCCGAATTGCCTGTAATTTTCTGGTTCATTGGGTGTCAAATCTTCCTATCAAAATTTTACCATGACACAGACCGCGATATACGTATATAAAGGTGTTAAAAGGATTACTGGATTTTATATATCTTCAAGCGCAGATTTCTTAAAAAATCAGCAGTTTCTTCAATGCCTCTATTTTTAAAATCCCCTTCAAGATCTTTAAGCATAGATTTATTTAAATAGTTTGAAGCGTAGATTTTTTAAATAATTTGAAATTCCCTTCAAATCTTCCTACCAAAATTTTACCATGAAAGAGACCGCGACATACATATATAAAGGTGTCGAAGGATTGCCGAACATACTTTCTCATTTTTTCCTATTATGATTTCCAACATGGTTCATGATATAAGATGATTAAAAAGAAACAATAAATATTTCTATATCTAGTAAAAAATAAATAATTTATTATAAAAAATACACAATAAATATTAAAAACATTTAAAATTTAAGTTATATTCAAATATTTCATAAATTTAGTGACTATGCCAAAACCTCTCTTTAAAGATAAAATATTCCAATTACATGTAGAAAATCTTTCACTGCAATCTTCACCATTTCTAGCCGCATCGACGGCACTATTTACAGCAGTTCCGCTCAATATGTTGCGTATTGAATCCAGACTATTCGAAAAATACCATTAGTTATTAAATTACAATATAAATAATTGCTTTAGTTTATACCTTAACATTCCATCAATAACTTTTCCAATACTCCCTGATGGGTCATAAGAACTTTTTTGTATATAATCACAAATGGATTTTTGCATGCAGGTACCCAAATTGATATTCCGTTCATGTAATTTTGTCTCGACAAATGAGAGTATGTTCTGCCGATCTCCTTCATCTGTAAACATTTTCAAAATTGTAGAATATTTAATAAATTCCACAATTGTTTTTATTTTCTCTTACCGGTATTATTATCATATGTATTCCACACTGTTTGCGGATATTCTCCAGAATTTCGTGATGTTTTACGAAATACAGGATAACCAGGTGGTACAAATGGTGTGAATAGGAATTTCAATAGTATTGCGAATATACCACCGACAGCCACTATTGCTCCCGTTGTTAATATTGAACTGACGTTCAGATTGAATAGACTTCTCAAAGCCGTCTTTGCCACCGACATACTACGTTCGATGGGCACACGTAGAAATGGAATAATGAATTCTAATTCAATGCTGACATCTTTTTCATCGGCATGAAATTGAAATCCTCGAGATTTACGATCCTTTGATGAGAGTTGGCGGGAAATTTGATTTATACTTTGCTCATTAGGCGACATAATCATATCCGTATCGATTTTAACATAATTACGTGGTTCAAAATCACGAAATCGCAATAACTTTGTAGAATTTGTGGTAGTTCTTGTTGTTGTATAAAATCTCCGTTGATTTATATTCGTGGTAAATTCATAATAATTAAAATTCATAAATAATATTGTCACAATGAGTAACATGTGAAACGCGTAACATTGTTTCCTATGATGCACTTTCAACATTGCAAATGTGTCACAGCGAGCTGGCGTATTTTTTAAGACCGTTACCTTTAACAAACGAACAACATCTGAGTCAGGTTTGGTGGTAAAATAATGCTTATATTAAAGTATCTTTATGGTGCAACTCGGGTAATTACCATAAAATTTGAAAACCCCTTTAGGAAGAATAAATGTAAAATTATCGTAAAAGGGGAATGACATATTATTTTCACGCTTTGTTAATAAACAAATTTGTAAATTTATGGTGGATGGGCATGGCATGGCCCATTCAACATTACGACTAGGCAAATTTTTAAAACAGAGTTTTTAAAAGAAAAAAAAGCCTACAATTTTCATAACGTTTTTTTTTTAATGTTAACCAGTTTGCATTCTATTTAATGCTACTAATTTTCCCAAAAAAGCCTGCAATGACCTTCAACTATCCGAACTTAGTGTTTTATAAGAAACAAGTTAAATAAAAGGTCCATAGAAACCAAATTATGGGATTTACATATATATTGTCGAATCGTAATCAGAGACCTAATATGAGGTCTCATTGGGCCTTTTTTCCTAACAGAAATGATTAAAATCTACCGAATTTTGGGTAGGTATTTGGATGGCACTAGATCTAATTTGGATTGAAAGTCTTAAATATTCAAGGATGAAATATTTTAAATTCTTCTTCGGGTTAAACTAGTAAAGGTGTTGCCAACAGACACAGAAATGGGGTTTTGAATACCGTTAATTTTAAATTTTGTTTCGATCTGGCAACTCTTTTATATAGAAGCAGGTGTTCAAAAAGGAAGGAGTGGACCAATGGGTCCCATCTGCGGACTTGATCTAGGATTGATAAAGGCAATAGGTTGTGAAAAGTTTGGTTCAAATTGGACATTCCTTTCGCCTGATATTGGATTTGAAAATATTGAAAATTGTTAACCTTTGTGGGGGAGGTACCAGAGGGAGTAGGACAATGGGCTCCACCTCTGGACTCGATCTAGACATGGTAATGATAATAGTTGGTGCAAAGTTTGGTTAAAATCGGGCATTCCATTCGTCTGATATTGGATTTATATATATATTGACCCTTTGTGGTGGAGGTACCTGAACGAGGTATTCCTTTCGCCTGATATTGGATTTATATACACTAACCCTTTGTGGTGGAGGTACCTGAACGAGTGGTGCAATGGGTCCCATCTTTGGCTAGGCTTGGTAAATACAATATGTTGTGCAAAGTTTGGTTCAAATCGCATAGTCCGTTCGCATGATATTATAAAAATAATTTTTAGCACAATTTTGACCATCTTGTAGGGGAGGTACCAGAAGAAGTGGACAGATATTCCCCATTTTCCAACTTGAACTAAGTTTGGTAGAAATATCTTCGAGAGTTATCGTGCTCACCAGTAGATTTTTATTAAATTCTCTTCAAAGCAAGGTCGTAGGGATGCAAAGCTAATTTGTAGAATTATACTTCTTGAAGCCGTATGATATATTAACGCCTTGTTAAAGGACAGATTTATAAATTTAAATTTTAAAGGCCTCAAAGCGTGGAATCTTTAAATAATTTTAAAATTCCCTCTCAGGTCTTTAAGCGTAGATTTATTTAAATAATTTGAAAATATCCCTTTAAGGCCTCTAAACGTAGATTTATTTAAAGAATTTTAAAATCCCCTTCAAAGTATAAAGAATTTTAAATTCCCCTTCGTAGATTTATTTAAATAATTTGAAAATCCCCTTTAATTCTTCGAAGCTCTTTTCTCCAAGAAGAGGATTGCCTCCAAGAACAGGATTTGTAATGCCTCGAATCACATATTTATCTACAACATTTATCATCAAAGCAGTGTTTTCCATTATCCATAATCTTCACTCGATGGTTTTGTTTTTCTTGTGATTAATACTTTTATTACAGACTTTCACGGAAGAAAATCACCGTTGTTCATCTCCTTTTGATTCATATTCGGTTTATATATACAGATCTCTCCTTTTCGGGTGGGTCCGCTTCTAACATAGTTGTTTAAGTGGTTGCTTCCTTATTAGCGGAAATCTTTGTCATCAGTTTTTTTTGAGCTCTGAGTTATCTCAACAGGGTTTCTGAAATAAATGAAGCGACTCGTGGACTCCATGGCTCTTCTATAATAAAAATTACTCTTCGACATTTTGTCTTTCCGCATACCTGGAGCATCCATAAACACCTCATTTTTTTCTGGCTGCCATAATTTTTGTCTCACAAAACTTCAAGTCTTCATTTTTTAGTTCCTGCTTTTTAGATTATTGCCATCCACGTAGGGGAGACTGGGGCACCTTCGGCATCGGGGCACCTTCGGCAATCGCGTTTTCGATATGAAGCTCTAACCGTACATCACTAGTTTCGATACATAGGTATTGAATATCGAAATAAATAACTGGCACAAAGTTTGAAATTTCTAGCTAATAAGCTTATTTAGATACATGGGTTTTTGTATTTTTATAGATGTTTCTGTAATATTTCAATTCCATTTCGTAAGTATTTCGTGTATAAAACTTTTTAAATTTTTAAGACAATTTTATTAGAAAGTGGTTAACTACGATGTGTATTGTTATAGAAATATTTAAAAATATAATGTTTTTACAAAACTGATCGAAAAAAATGAAAAAAACTATAAAAAGTACATTCGGGGTACATTCGGCATTTTAAAGTGGGGCACATTCGGCCATATACAGATTGTGCAATATTATTTCCTTAAAATGTTTTTGAGTTTGTCTTTAAAACTAATCCTTTAATATGGTTCGAAATTGCATATATAAGATCAAACGTGCTTGTATTGACGAAAATGCTATAGAAAACCCCTATTTCTGATGGTGTGTGCGACCTTGAGATGTAAACGTCCGCTGCAGAAAATTAAGTCCTATAATTCAAACATTGTGTGGCGTATTAAAACCAAATAGAGCCTTTAGAGGATCAGAATTTCAACCAGACTGATAGCGATGACAATTACCCGGCTATGACTATGGTGCCGAATGTGCCCCATCAAATGCCGAAGCTACCCCGGGTTGGGGCACATTCGGCGAATTTGACTTTTTTTACAAAACTGTAAAATTTTTTAACTAATACTATTTTTTTATATCTTTTTGGTACTATTTTTTATAATTAAGTGTCCGAGGACAATAATCAGCCATAAAGTTGTTATATATGCTGAGTAAGTACTGAGATATAGAGCTCTAAAAAAAAGTGCCGAAGGTGCCCCAGTCTCCCCTATATTGTTAGTTCTGATTCTTTTTCAGTAGTATTACCCTTGTTCGTTCCGAATCTTTTTTAGTAGTATTACCCTTTGTACCATGGACTGTTGGCTCCGCATCATTCTCTATGAAATATCTCTAGCTTCGTGTCTTATAAATAAATTCCCTCTATTGTGAGAGCTTCTTGAATGACTATCTTGGGATCCTAGATAGGTTCTTTACCTTAAGGGGTCTAAAGACAAATGGTGAAAAGAGCTCGTTTATAATGATAACGGGTAAAACACGATATATTTTGCCAAGTTATAGGACCTACCGTCCGGTCCTACAAATTGGTCTTCACCTCACGATAGGTGAAGGGCATGATAAACTACCTGGGAGTAATTTTTCCTCAGGAATTTGATTTCACCAGGCATGTAGAAGAATAAGCTGCTGATATATCGACAGATTATCCGGCCGACAATTGCCTCCGCCTTTCTAATCTGGTATGACATCTCATCACATCAGGCTTAGGAAGTGAGGCTCAGAGTTCTGGGTACTTGTGTAGGCCTACGTGGTCTAACATATAGCCAGTATGACATTCTAATAGGGCAGGAGATGACAGAATTGACAGGGTCCTGGTTACAGGTGCACTAAAAATTAAAGCCAAACACTCTAACAAATGTTCTTTATTGACCATTCAATGAGACATATTTTAAACTTTAGGCTCGTATACTTTAAAACCACTTTCCTTTTCCATCTTCTACCGAACACATGACAGGTAAACGGTAGTTTCCCCCTCCTGTTTGTTTTGCGACCGAAGTGGCTCTAATTTGATTTCATGGATTCTCATGGCGTGTCAAATCTTCCTACCAAAAATTCGCAATATAGGTTAACGTTTTTGTATAGCTTTCATATAACCGTCCATGTGTGGTATTTTGAAGGGTTTTTGTCGCATTTCACTACCAAAGTGTCTGGATTTTTGCAAAATGGATTCCTGTAGGGAGACAAACATTTCTGCAGAATTGTTGATATAGACCAATATTTTTACATAGCCCCTACATATAATTCCCGATGGGAACTTAATGTCATTTTTATTGGTTTAATAATGGAATAATGTCATACATGTTTTATTCAAGAATATTGAAAATTACAATATAAGTTGCTGCAATATTTACACGATTCAACACTTATATAACGTTACAATGTTACATCGTTCCGTTACATTAGGAATTCTGAAAACAAAAAGACAACAATATTTGCTCCATGTATGTTATAAAAGTGAACGAAATGATAACAAATTTTCGAGCATAATTTTCCGCTACTTAAAGTGGCAGTACAATGTAAACACAATTTACATAATGTTGACAGTGCAGTCAACTGTAATAAACATACATACCGATATGCAGATGTTCATATGTAAGTTTCGAGACACTTTTAAAAATGAAGTGCTAACAAATTGTTTCCTACTATTTCCGTATTTATTTTCCTACTTTTTTTAATCAAATCATCCAGGGGGATAATTATTCTCACCAGCGGAGCTTGACAGAATATTGCAACCCGAACTAGAGTGTATTTAAAAGTTGTTTTACGAATTCCCTGTTTATTTTCAAAGTTCACGTGGAGTACGAAAGTTCATAATGTTCGGAAAAGAAAAATTGACTTATAAATCACTTGGAATATTTTTGCTACTGTTGGTGGATTGTTGCTCTGCTAGCTCATTCAACGATTTTCCCCTCAATGGAACCTCCATTATCTCCAAGTTGGAACGTCAGCCAAAATTAAATATTGTCTCCTTTGAACCGTTGGGTGAACATTTAGCATTGGGTTTGGATTTCCTGCTGCCCTTTATAAAAATTCCCATTACCCGTGAGGATAATGTTTATGGCACTGAACCGGTAAGTAGAAATATTTTAATTCATATATTTAAAAATAATATTCTAATTTGACTTCGTATTTTAGGCCCTTATCAACATTAATTCAGCGGCATTGATTACTACTGGCATCCTGGCTGGTTCTGGGGCGCTTATCTCATATCTTTTTAGAAAATATGTGCTAATTGATCCAATGTTTAAATCGGAAAAATCCGAAAGATCGGATAATGACAATTTTGAAAGTGAGCTATGGTCAATGCTGGAAAATGTTAAAGTGATTTATAGAAATTCTTCGGGAGAAAAAGTTGGTAAGTTTGAAAAATTTGTATAAATATTGGAAATACTGGAATGACGTTTTCACCCTACGGTGGGGAACACATGAGTCTACATCAGGGTTAGGGTGTTGGACACACGCATAGATCCGTTGGGAGAGTAATTTTTGCTCTCGGTACAGATCATATAAGTTAAAGCATTGCAAAGCATACGACATGTTCGATGTCGAGACTTAAGTTGAGTACGAACACAGAACTGTGCTATGTAAAGTTCGAACACAGAACTGTGATTGCATTGGTACTCTCCCAAAGCGCCCGTGGGCGCCTGTTTGGTGAACGTTGGTCTTCATGAATTGCACAAGCAAGAACCCGGAATGCCCATTTACAGACACTTCTGTGGGGAAATTACTATGATGTCTGGTAGGCGCTACATTTCCATCTAAAGATCAGTTATTCAATATGTGTAAGGAGCTTTTCTCGCTTGAATAGAAAACAAGCTTAAAAGCTTGCGAAATGAAATAAATTCTGGTTTGTCAATATGATGAGAAAATAAACTTCCAGAATTACTACTGGTCTGCAACAACATCAACACATATTGCTCAAATCATTTGAAATGTTCAAATCCAGTTGGATGATGCTCGCACGAGAGGAAGACAAATCCTTAGATGAACTACTTATGTAGCTCTGCCTATTTGAAAGACATTTTAACAGATCTGAATGTGGAATGATCGACAAGACAGGCAACTTTAGTCCTGAATGAAAAGAAAAGGAAAAAACATACATAAAGACTGTAAGTCAAGACCATGGTTCCAATGCTTCCCATCATTCGGTAGCTAATTAAGTTAAGTTAATTTAAGTTAATTAGCTTAAGAGGAAGCAGGTCAAGATCTCGAAGATGGAAGATTTTGAAGAAATAGAAACTGGAAAACGCAGAAGAGATGACACATATCATAACTGTATCGTAAAAAGATTGAGAAATCTAACTATTATAATTACAAATTGTGTCAGTAAGGAATATGTTATGATGTCACATGATTTCGTTAATCCATCAAGTTTTTTCCAAGTTCTAAGAGTACAGATATAAATGATTGGATTCAAACCATAAAATACCATTAAAAATACCTGGGTACTTTGGAATCCTCCCAAAGGAGCGAGCGAAGGCGCTCTCGTCGATAGGAAAGACGAAGGCAGATGACAGAATTGAGTAGTAAATGGCAATATAAGATATAAAAGGATTTAAGCATAAAAGAGTAGACTACGATCAAACATTTAGTCCAGTAGTAAGGAGGTCCAGTATACGATCAGTCTTAAGTATTGCTGTAACTGAAAAATTGCATTTGTCACAATTTAACGTAGATGCGGCATTTCTCTACGACGAATTGAACGAGACAGTTAATATCGAAAAACCAGATGGTTTTAATGATGGCACAAACAGAGTTTCCCAGTCCAAACGAAGTCTATACGGTTTGAAGCAAGCACCCATGTCTTGGAACCAAAGAATGGAAATTTTCATTAAAAAGCTTGGTTTAAAACCAGTTCTGCAGACATCTGTTTATACATTAGGGAAAATATTGCAAAAAGTTGACCCATTGCTCTCTATGTACATGATGGATTAGTTATTGCTTCGGACAAAACAGAATTGAACCATTGCCTTAAAAATTTAAAATCTGAATTATAGATAAAGAAATAGAAGACAGCGATGATCAAATCAAAATATTTCAGAAAGCCTATGTAAAGAAAATTCTGGGAGATTTAATGTATCAGAGTGCAGACCAGTTTCCACGCCAATAGAAAAAAACAATCAAATGTGATACAAGAGCAGGACAAGCTACTACATAATTTTTATATATGCAGGCAGAAGGTGTTCCCATTGGCCAGATTTGCCAAATAGCATTGGATACTTATCAAGGTATCTAGAAAACAATACTGCTGAAAATATTCAGAGTTTTTAGATATATCGCTGGTACTATAGATTTTGAAATAGCTTATAAGAAGCAATGACCAAAACTATTAGAATGTTATAGTGGCGCTGATTTCGGTGGATGCGTATCAACTATACGATCTACAACAGGTGTTATTGCCACCTGTGCTGGTGGAGCTATATCCTGGATAAGTCAAATGGCATCCAACTGTGTCGACTTTCACAAATGAAGCAGAAATTATTGCTGCAAGTGAAGCTTCAAGAGGTGTAATATGGCTTGAACGATTTTTAAGGATATAATAAATTACAATGAAATTCCAATTATAAAAATTTACAATACAGCTACAGCTTCTTTGTCAAAAGGATTTGACAAAGAATCCTGAATTCTATATGCGAACAAAACACATTGACTTGAAACACTTTTTCATACGTGAAAAGGTCACAGAATGTTTAATATCAACAACTTAAGTTTCTCAATTAGTTGACCTATGACAAAACCTCTACCAAAACCACGTTTACAATCCCTATATAGTCGTTTAAATATTAATTAAATATCGGAAAGTGTTGAAATATGTGTTTAAAAAAAAATCTGGAATGTCAAATTACAGACACGGCCGGTGGGAAATTGTGAAAAACGCAGTTCATTATTTCTTTTTTGCGTATTACTTAAAAACTAATTTTTATTGTTATTTTTTTGTTTTGTTTTTAAACTAATTGCAAAAAAGAATCTTTAGAGAGCTTCCATAGACTTGCTTAATATAATACTAATGCACGCTTCGCTACATATACTACTAATATATATTTTGTTTCATTATAAATGCTTTCAGATACCTCCCTCACAGGGCTATTAACCACAATCGACGAATCATTCTCTGAGAAGGGTATTAATCTAAATGATTGTCTTCAAATGGTCTTGTGTCACCGTCTACAAAAGTCTAACAACAACTACGAGGAACATGGCGAAAATTACCCTTCATCAGGAGTAGATAAAATTATTGATGGCTTGACTAGCATGAAATGGATACGTCAAAATATACTACCATATACTCCATTGAATGATATCATCGGTGATCAGGATGGGAAATTAGAATGCAATATGAAATTTCCCAAATGTAAATGGTCAATGACTGGAGAAAATTTATGCGGTTTATTTGAAAATTATATAAAATTTACTTAAATATAGATTTGCTGTTATATTTTATGTTTCAATACAATTATAATTTTTTAAGAGATATATTTGTGATGAATAAAAAATTTAGGATTAGTTTATAAATATATAAAAAATGCTATGATTTTCCTTCTCCGTGGACCAGTAATGCTAAATTGCAGCACTTTGGGTGGAAAAATTCTTTTAAAATCTTTAAAATATCTTAAGTGGAATGGTCCCATTATGTAGTGGATAGACTGACGGGCATGGATAATTTTATTTTGGTCTTGAATGTATGTATATATATTGCATAGTGGAGTCTGTGCATTGTCAAGCAATTCAATTTTAATACGTTGCCAACGATTGCTGATTTTATAGCTTAGCATCATCTATTAAAAATCTTTGGGAAACCATTATTCATTATTACAGCAATGAAGTATGGCAAAATAACAATAGATGTCACAGTTGTGACGATAAATACAAAACGAAAAGCTATAGCATACTTTTAGGCACAAACGTTAGAAGTGCTTATATATTGATAACATTCTTTTTATAAGTATGATCTTCATATACATATTCACAAAAACATATAAATTTTTCCTCTTTCACCTCTTATACAAATATTTAACGTTCCGAACTATATAACGAAATTTGATGGTTTAGCAATTTTATAGTTTGTCCCAAAATTGGTTCAATTGCATTCCGAATTCAATTGTCATAATAATGAATGGTAATGATTTTGCTACAAGACCTTAGCCAAGACACCATACCCAGTCTGCTATCTGTTTCCCAAACCTTTGAGAAATTAATAAATAGTACAATAGATGTCGCACCAAAAAGGATGTAAACAAATTAAGGAGCGATAGAAAACCTATTTTTATATTATTCGCCCCCTTTTTGGTCTTTTTTTAGGGAATTTTCTACGATAACAATTTGAAGTCGACCTAGACATTTCCTAGTGTTTGGCAGGCACGGTATCATAAACAAGTTGACATATATAGTAAATTGTTTACGAAAAAGAAAATGGTCGGGATATTGGGAACAAGTCGAAATATGCAAAAATATTGAAGATTTTTCTTGCCTACACCATGAACCCGGAATGCATATCTCTGTACTTTTTCACATTTATGGGAATTATCGCATACAATAAGGAGCGTGTAAATATATATTAAAAGTACAGAATTTCCTCTAAAAAATGAATCACATTTTACAAAAATCGGTTCAATATTTGCCTCCTAATTATACTTACTATTCGCTGCAGTTCATCTATTACCTAAAAATGAACACCTCTAAAAATGTCTTTGAGTTACGGAAAGATTTTTGTCATGTCTGCTGGGTTTTGTTGCGACAAATATTACCTTTAAGTGAAAAACAGTTCCGTGGTGCAATTTTTTACTTGATAGGTGCGATTATTATCTCTTCAATTAAAAATATATACTATTTCCTCTAAACACTTCTGCAAAAATTATAAAAATCGGTTAAGTATTCGCCGAGTTATTTTGCATACGGAAATTTTTTTTGAAATCTTCCATTTTTACAAAACCAATTTTTGTGTGATTTTTCATTTTTAGGTAATAGGCGCCCAGCAAAATTAAGGCTGTCGTCTGTCTATGGTATAATACATAACTTGGCGCATGTTGATTTTTAAGTACTCAAGAGTTGGAGATTTATCTGCATAAACTCAGTCCTTCACGTAGCCAACATGTATTTTGCAATAAAGACATATTCGATCGAGTTATGTGTCATGTGGCACCGTCTTGTTGAAAAACATATGTATTCTCCAAGTCGTTTTCTTCAATAGCAGTCTAAAATAGTCAGTTTTCGTATGACCAAAATCACCGAACTGACTGTGGCAGTCGTTGCATCGTCATTTTCGAAGAAGTAAGGCCTTTAATGGCCTCTCTTCAAATACTTGAGGATTTTCCAAACATAATCTCTTGTAAAGGCATGTGGATGCTGCAGAATCATAATTTGTTTATAATTTGTTTTTATAATTTGTATGGGTTGTGAGATAGTAAAGCGATCCTTTTTCGTTAATGTTAGAATGTCCACTGAAGAGAACAAAGGTTAAACAACTTATTCTGACAGATTCCGGTCCCATACTCTTGAAACCCACGATAGGGATGCAAAAAATGTATATCCTTGTGGGTCATATTAAAACTACATCATTGCAGCTAACAAGTGTTGAAATTTTCATGCAAATATCTCTATTCGTTGCTGAGATATAACCTGTTCAATTTTAGCTTGAGTCAAAATATAGCTGCTACACAATTCTGTTCGCCTGGTATCACAAATTCCAAAATAGCGATATTTTACATTTTTCCAAATGTGCAAAATTTGATAGCAATGCTGCCAGATCGCATAATGTGTTTCTATGCGATTTTATAAAATAAGATAATTTTAAAGCATACTTCTAGGCGTTAGCTTGAAATTCCATTCCTCATATTATTATTATGCCTCAAATTATTCTTTGTTTTAGCGAAGTATATTTGTTGCATGATCTGGCAACATTGCTAGCAAATTCGGTCATTTGAAAAATATAAAATATAACCTCTATTGAATTTTGTGACACCAGGCGAACATAATTATGTAGCAGCTATATTTTGAGTCGAGCTTAACTTCAAATGGCTATATCTCTGCAGCACATTGATATATTTACATGGAAAATTCACGTCTGGAATGCTAAAAAGATGTAGTTTTTGTATGTCTCACAAGAAAATACTATTATTACCTCCTTACCTATGTGGTGCATTAAATAACAAAAGTTTGTCCGATTAACATGAACATTTGCAAATGTTAGTGCGTATAATGTAGGAGGCCGTTTTTTGTCCTTTTCTTACTGGCTACTTATTATTTGGCCAAAAAATAAAGATGGTTTCAAGATTATGGAACTGGAATTCGACATCTGTCAAAATAAGTTGTTTAACCTTTTTTCTCTTCAGTGGACATTCTAACATTAACGAAAGTGGATCGCTTTACTATCTCACAACCCATACAAATTATAAACAAATTATGATTCTGCAGCATCCACATGCCTTTAGAGGAGATTATGTTTGGAAAATCCGCAAGTTATTGAAGAGAGACCATTAAAGGCCTTACTTCTTCGAAAATAATGATGCAAGGACTGTCACAGTCATTTCGGTGACTTTGATAACCGACTATTTTCGCCTGTAATTGAAGAATACGACTTGGAGAATATGTTGTTTCAACAAGGCGGTGCCACATCACACATAACTCGATCGAATATGTCTTCATTGCAAAAGACATTTGGGCTACGTGAAAGACAGAGTTTATGCAGATAAACCTTCAACTCTTGAACACTTAAAAATCAACATTCGTCAAGTTATGGATTAGATACCACCCACTAAGTGTCAATATAAAAAATATGTAATAAAAATATAATATCACCAAATAGATATATCATAAAACCGTATTGCCAGGATGTAATAAAAATGCAAAAATCCCCACTAAATATTTCGGCAAATTTTATAAAAAAATCGGTTAAGTATTTGCTGAATTATTAACATTTGAAGTCAAATATCTTCCAAAATATACTTACTGTTCGTTACCGGTCTTGTAAAAATGGACGGACATTAAAAACTAAATTTCCATTTTCAAAAACCCGACTTTTGTGTGTTTTTCATTTTTTGGTAATAGGCGCCCAGCACCGAACAGCAGGTACATTTTGAAAGATCATTGACTTCAAAGGCCAATAACTCGGCAAATATTTAACCGATTTTTATAATTTTTGCAGAAATGTTTAGAATAAATTCTGAAGTTTTATTACATACTGACAAGACATATACAAAATCCGATGTTGTTTACCAGCCGACATTATGGAAAATTTGTCCGTTTTAAAAACTTTTCAATTGACCTGTAGGGTAGCGCTTTCGTGACATATAATTGAAAAAAAAATATATATTACGATTTTTCTCTCTCATAACATTATTTTATGTATGTATTTTCAGTGTGCAATAAAACTGTAATATTTCCTCTAAATATTTCTGGAAAAATTATAAAAATCGGTTAAGTATTTACTGAGTTATTAACAGTTGAAGTCAAACATCTTCCAAGATATATTTACTGTTCGGTGCTGGGCGCCTATTACCGGAAAATAAAAATCTCTCAAAAATCGGGTTTTTGAACACGGGCATTTTTTTTGATTCCATTTTTACAAAACCGACTTTTGTGTGGTTTTTCATTTTGAGGTAATAGGCGCCCAGCACCGAACAGTAAGTATATTTTGGAGCATGGTTTAATTCAAATGCATATAACTCAGCGAATACTTAATCGATTTTTATAAAATGGAGAAATGTTTACAGGGAATTCCGAAGTTTTATTACACAGTTGAATTTAATATATAAAATTATGTTATGTTAGATAAAATTCCTAATATGAACAAAATTCGGATTAATACGGATTATTTTTTAAATTATGTCAAGAAAGCGGTGTGGTGGATTGTTTTTAATTACTTTTTTTTTATAGATGATTGGTCGGTTTCGGATTAATACGGATTATTTTTTAAATTATTTTAGATGATTGGTCGAGTTGAGGAGCCTGTGCTGGGAAATGGGCCTGCCATCTACCGTTGCATAGAATCAACACAACCTTGAATTATCTGCTGTGGTTACTTGCTAATTTAGTTATGCCATTTTCCTCCGTGTGGCGCTATTAATATTTTGTGTTATCCTCAAGTTTTGATGTTGATCGGATCCGTCCGACTTGGGTCCTTTCCTTACTGGATTTCTTATATGAATGTAACCTTCCTCTAATAGTTATCATGTATATATCAAGTCCAAATCCCATTGATTTTTTATTTTTATGAAAAATTTAAATATTTTCTTTACTTACCAATAAATTTTCAATCCCTTTTTTTTAATGAAAAACAAACAATTTTTTTTGTTATGCAAATATTTCAAATTATAGATAATCAAATTTATTTATTTATGTTGTTTCTATAATTTTATATATAAAGAAAAGTGTTTGTTTTTTTATAAATTTTGAAAAAAAAATACAATATAATAAATGAC